TGAGCAATGCCCACGGAGGTCAGAAAAAGGCATCAGAGTCCCTGGAACTAGTTACAGATGGTTGTTAGCCACCATGTGGGTGCTGGGAATTGAACCTGTTTCCTCTGCAAGAACAGTCACTTCTCTTAACCACTGAGTCATCTCTTTGCCCACATTGTTTTTTTTTTTGTTTTTTTTTTTTTTTTTTAGATAGGGTCTCATTCTATAGCTCAGGTTGGCCTGGAACTTTCTATGTAGGCCAGACTAGACTTGAACTCAGATCTGCATGCCTCTGGGATTGAAGACATGCACCACCATGCCAGGCTCTGTTCTTCTTTTGATCATTTTTGTGTGTGTATTATATGTGCATATATATTCATGTTCGTGTTGTACATGTGTGTTGGTTCATAAGCAGGTGCTGGATAGAGACCGATATAATCAGGAACCTTCTCCAATCATGCTCCACCTTATTTATTTATTTTTTTTGCTCCACCTTATTTTTTTGAGACAGGTTTTATCACTGAACCTGGAACTCGCAGATTCAGCAAGACTAGGCAGCCAGCAAGCTCCAGGGATCCTTCTGTCTCCCACTCCCCAGAGCTAGGCTTCCTTTTTTTAAAATATGGGTTCTATAAATTGGAACTCAGGTTCTGCTGCTTGCATGGCAAGCACTTTACTGATTGAGCCATTTCCCTAGCCCTGCCATTGACCATTTCTGTTGCTGTCTTCAAGTTTACCAACATAATGTCTGGTCTGCCATAGTTTTTATTTTTGGCAGCTCCATCTCGCCATTACATTTTGTTGGGTGTTCCCAGAGCACAGTTTAGTCTAGTGTTAGTCTTCCTCACTATTGAAGAAAGCATTCTGTTTGGCCTGCTACCCTGTGAGTTACAAGGCTTTTTCTCTAGCTGTAAGAGGTGGTGTTGTGCTGGGTGTATGAGTTGCAGAGACTACTCCTCCCCTTTCAGATTTTCCTCCCAGACTCTGTCTAGTGCCTTCCTCACACATACACTTTGAGCTTCCAAAGTGGAATGAAGGGCTGGAGAGATGGCTCAGCAGTTAAGAATACTGGTTGTTCTTGCAGAAGACCAGGTTTGAATTCCAGCACCCACATGGCAGCAACAATTGTCTGTAACTCCAGTTCTAGGGGATCCGACAGCCTCTTCTTGTCTTCCTTGGGCATTGCACAACACAGGTGTATGTACCTGCATGCAGGCAATACATACGTACACATAAAATAAAGATAATAAATTAAAAGAAAAAGTGGACTGACTTAGCCAAGCGTGGTGGCACACGCATTTAATCCCAGGCAGAGGCAGGCAGATCTCTGTGAGTTCAAGGCCAGCCTTGTCTACATAATGAGTTCCAGGACAGCTGGGGCTACAGGAAGACCCTGTCTCAAAAAGACCAAAAAAAAAAAAAAAAAAAAAAAAAAAAAGAGCATACGCCTTTAATCCCATTGGGAGGCAGAGGCAGATGGGTCTCTGTGCATGCAATGCCCTTGAGTGTCAGAAGAGGGAGGCTGATGCCCTGAAACTGGAGTTACTAACAGAAGTTAGCTGTTCTCTGGATGCTGGGAACTGAACCTGGGTCTTCTGCAAGAGTAGCCAGTGATCTTAACTGCGGAGTCATCTCTCCAACCCCCTAAAATTCTTATATTTTTATTAAAAAAATATATTTCCAGGTGTGGATGCACACCTTTAATCACAGCACTTGGAGGCAGAGGCAGAAGCAGGTGGATCTCTGTGAGATCAAGCTAGCCTAGTCTACATTGTGTATTCCAGGCCAGCTGGGGCTGAGGGAGACCTTGTCTCAAAAAGACCAAAAAACAACAAACAAAAAAACCCAAACCCACAAAAACAAAAAAGTGTATAAATGTGAATTTTCCAATGGAGATTTATTATGAAGCAAGTGATAGAATATTTATAGGAATCACATTCTTGGTTGGTCAGAAAAGGAGAAGAGGGGCTGGAGAGATGGCTCAGCAGTTAAGAGCACTGAACTGTTCTTGCAGAAGACCCAAGTTTGAATTCCAATACTCACATGGTGGCTAACTCCATAACTCCAGTTGTAGGAGTTGACTGTGCTCTTCTGACTTCTGTGGACATTGCACAACATGGGTGCACTTGCACATGCAGACAATATACTCATACACATAAAAATAAAAATAAAATATAAAAATGATCCTCCTTTCTCTACCTGTTAGGTGCTGGGATTACAGGCTTGCATACCACACTCACCTAGAAGATTATTGATTTTGAAGGTGTAGAACAATATGTTTAAAACAGCAAAAAGGTATGAAACAATCTTCCCACAAAATGAGAGAGTAACCAGACAGGGAGTTTGTAGGAAAGGACTGCCCACTTGAAGTGTGCTGTACATGTGTGATTTCATATTCTTTTCTAGCAGAACTCTGCTGTTGAGATGATAGTGTCACTGGTGCTTGCTGGCCTCACTTCTACAGTTGAATTTTCTTTTTTCTTTTTTAATCTTTTTGAAACAGGGTCTCCCTGTAGCCCCAGCTGGCCTGGAACTCTGTAGACCAGGCTGACCTTGAACTCACAGAGATCTGCCTGCCTCTGCCTCTCCAGTGCTGGGTTTAAAGGCGTGGACCACCATGCCCGGCCTAGGAGTATGCTCTTGTTAAAAGAAAATTTGTGTGTGTGTGTGTGTGTGTGTGTGCGTGCATGATGTATAGGTGTGTGTGTACGTGATGTATGGGTGTGGGTGTGCATGATGTCTGGGTATGTGTTCATGATGTATGGGTGTGTGCATGCCACAGCAGGCATATGGAGGTCAGAGGACAACTTTGTGGAATTTTTTCCATCTTTAGGTGGTTTCTGGGGGTTGGGCTCAGGTTACCAGGCTTGTGCAGCAAGTGCTTTGCCCACTGAGTCATTTCACAGCCCCACACAATATGTGTTTCTTTAGAAAATATATTTTATTTATTATTTTTATTTTATGTATATGAGTGTATTGCCTGCGTGTATGTGAATGCACCCATGTCGTGCAATGCCTGAAGAGGTCAGAAGAGGGATTCGGATTCCCCTGGAACTGGAGTTAAGGATGGTTCGTAGCTGCCATGTGGGTGCTGGGAATTGAACCCCGGTCCTCTGTAAGAGCAGTCAGTGCTCTTAACTGCTGAGCCATCTCTCTAGCCCTGATATGTGCTCGTTTTAAACTTTTATTATTTAAAAAAATGATCATTTTTATTTTATGTGTATGAGTGTATTGCCTGCATGTATGTGAGTGCACCTGTGTCGTGCAATGCCTGCAGAGGTCAGAAGAAGGCATCAGATTCCCCAGGAACCAGGGAATCCAATGCCCTCTTCTGACCTCTTTGTACATTGCACAGCATGGGTGCACTTACACATATGCACTTACACTCATACACATAAAATAAAAATAAAATGGCAAAAACCCTGCAGGGATGAAAGTGCATGATGCTGCTCAGTGTTACAGCACTTGTCTAGCTTTGATCCCTAGCTCTGTAAAATAATTATTAATGAATACTGAATAAAATTGTTTCCAGCAACATCCCATTTGTTCTTATGGCCTAGCCTAACTCAGAACTCTGTTGACATCCTGGTCACCTGCCCTAGTGTCCAAGCCAGAAACCTTGGACCCCCAAGAAGTTACTGTGCTTCCCAGTCCATATCCAGCCAGTAAATCCTTTCGCCTATGACCTCAGCTGAATCCTCTTGCAACTCCTACAACCTTGGTCCTCCCCCAGTCCTTTCTGGATCACAGAACCTCTCAACTACTTTTCAGCTATTTCCCATTACAAGGACTAACAATGTGGAGCTTCCCAAGGACCTTTCCTGCCTTCATTTCTCCCTCCCCGCCTCTCTTTGCCAGCTACTGTTCTTATAAACTGTTCCTCCTCAGCAGGGCTCTCATGTTTCCCATATGTGACGATGTCCAGGCAGTCTGCGAAACTACTCTCTCTCTCTCTCTCTCTCTCTCTCTCTCTTTCTCTCTCTCTCTCTCGGCCTGGGGATTGATTGACCCCCCTAGGCTTTGCGCATGCCATGCAAGCATTCCACTGGCAAGCTACAACCTACACCCTAGATCCCTTAATAACTTTTTTTAAAGATAAAATTTGACTATGTAACCCCGACTGCCTTCCTACTCTTCTATTAATTTATTTTTAGAGTCTCCCTGTAGCCCTAGCTGGCCAGGTGTGTTCTGTGCCTAACCCGTCAGTGACTGTTGTTTGAGATAGAATCTCAAGTAGTCCAGGTTGGTTTGAACTCACTATGTTGCAGAGGATGACTTTGAACTCTTCCTGTTTCCAACCTCCTAAAGGATAGGATTATAGGTATGTAATACAAGGGACACATGCCAAAATGTTGACCAGAAAGCCAGGCAGACAGTGATCCTCTGCTTCTGTGGCAGCACCAGAACCAGGAGGCCTCAGGTGCCAGTGTGGGAGCTAGGGTCCTCTGTTGGACAAGGGAGTTCTGCAGGAACACAGTGTGTGCCATAATGGGCCTTGCATCCTGGTTGAGGGCACTGGAAGCCCTCTCTGGGAGGTGTAGAGACACATAAAGTTGGGGTGTCTAGTCCTGGATATACAGGAGGCCTAGGGAATGTCTTCTGGCTCTGCCCCATCTCACTGCAGTCTGGATGGACTAGGGGCAGATGCAAACCAATCAGATTCTGATTCCTAGACTTTACTCTTTGGTTAGCACCAATACAGCACTGCAGCCAAAGGGGACAGGAAGTCATAAGCCTGCAGGTGATGAGTTTAGCCACTCAGTGGCCTGGATACATGATATTCTCCTTTCTTCTTCGAACCCAAACTCTGGGATTTAGAGAAGATGGGCTTCTCAGGCCCTGGAAGGTGTGCTAGGGGAAGGTCCTGGAAGGAAGCCCGTCAAACAAAACACCTGGCTGGAAACTGAGGCAGCTTTAATAAGAGGAAAGCCAGTAGATGGAAAGCCAGGCTGGCTGGCAGATCCCCCAGGCTGGGGGTAGGAGAGCACAGGGGAAATGAGGATGGGGTGCAGGGCCCGGGGTTACACATCCAGGTTAGAGAGACTCAGCTTGGTGTAGGTGCGTTTCTTGCGCTGCACGATGCCAGGGTTAAAGGTGGCCCCTACTGGCCAATGCCGGATCACATGCCGGTAGGAAGAGGCCAGGTAGTCAAAGTAGTTGATGTTGAGTTTCCTGGCAATGTGCCGGCCCAGGAATTCCATTTGCTATGGAAGTGGGTGGCAGTCAGGTCTCCCAGGACAAGGCAGGTCCCTCCAGCATGCCCTTTAGGTGTCCATTCCCCCTCCCCTGCCCAGAACCACGGTGCTCCTGCCACCCTAGCAGAGTAGAGGCCATGGCACAGGGACTGACTGGGCTATGATTACCTCTAAGTACAAAACAGCCCCATCTAAGGACCCCAAGCAGTAGTTGGTATCATTTTTGTCTGGAGGAAAGGGATGATCTGGGGCAGGACCCACCTCATAGTGCTCTGACAGCTGCACCAGCACCAGTGGCTCCAGCTTGTGGCCACAAAGGACCAGCTGGAAGAAGCACCTTCCATAGGCTGCCAATAGGTGAGCAACTGAGCTAGGAGCCTAACCTCCTGGAGCCTCCCTCCCTGTGGGACAGTAGGGATGGGCATTCCAGGTGGGGGCATCCAGATGGATGGTTGGGCCCTGGAGCCAAGTCCCTCTCCCTCCCCTCCCCTCCCCTCTATCCTAGGCGTCACCATCAGAGCTAAGCGCCAGGCGCACGTAGACCAGGTGCATTGGTCCCTGACATACAGTACGGCCACAGATGGAGAAGTGGTAAATGCCAAGTGTATGGTTCAGTACCAGGCGCCGCCGGGGCAATGAGGAGATCATGAGCCACAGGCCTATACCCATGCCATAGGCAGGGAAACACCAAGTCTCCTGCTTCTGCACCTGTGGGCACCAGGGACAACATATTGGGGAGGTGAGTTCCAGTAGGAGGTTCCCATGTGGCCCTTGTGAGAAGAGCGTTGTGGGGTGGGGCGCAGGAACTCTGACCTTTTTCAGGACATCACAGGAGACCAGGAGAAGGCAGACAATGAAGAGCACCGTCCCCTTCCAGAGCGTGTCCAGGTAGTACTCAAGCACAAAGACTGAAGGCAGCATGACCCGACACATAAGGACAGGTGGGAGCTTCCCACAGCCAGGGGATAATGCCAGGGCTTTAGGAGGAAGGGCCCACCCAATGGAGGTTCTCCATAATACTACAGTATCTATACCCACAAGTGTACCTGCCTGCCCTAACCCATCCAGGCTTCAGCCCAGCTCTCCACTCCTGGGAACCTGGCTGTGCCTAGTCCCCTGCCCACCGTCTGGCTGCTGCTGCTTGAAGGGGTAAAAGCTGTTGTTCTTGAGGCGTTTGGCCAAGTGGCGCTCGGTGTAGAAGAATCCTAGGGCCCAGAGCTGGAAGCGCCTGATAACGAAGGTTGTGGACAGACCACTGGACTGGTCCTTGGGGACCTATTTAGGTAGAAGTAATCAGCATACAGCTTGCCCACTGCCACCACCCAGTGCCTATCTATAGGGCTCGCACATGAGATAACCAAGTATCCAGGGTTGCAGTCTAGAAAGGAGCAAGAACTTCCAGACAACAGCAGGACAGGGAAGCAGGCTGGACAATCCAGGCTGCACTGCCTAGGTTCTAGAAGTTCAGGGCACAAGGTTCTAGAAGAGGCTGTTCTGTTGACCACACCTTTTTTTGTGGGCATGCACTTCCTGGTCAGTCTCCACCTCGTGGAAGGCAAACTGGTTGTCCTCAGGGCTAGATAGCCCAAGCCTATGCTGCCAAAAAGGCTGTCCCCTCAGGGACTCTGGTTTCTCACAGATGGGATACATGCAGCCCCAGCTTCAAACCCTGCAGTGAGCAAAGATAGGGTGTGATAGGAAGCCATAGGTTGCTGTAGCCAGCTACATTAGGTATAACCCCTGTTCTTAACCCAAGGACTTAGTCCAAGGACTACACAGAAGCCTGGACTGTTGGTTCTTTTAATTCTAGCACTTGAGAGGCTAAAGCAGGATCGCCATGAGTTTGAGGTCAGCCTGAGCTACACAGTGAATTCCAGTACAAATAAAGACCAAAATAAACAAAAAAGGACCATAAAGAGCTCCTAAAAATATTTTATCAGAATACAAAGCTCAAACATCACAAAGTGAAAAAAGGGGTAGGGCAAGGGGAGTAGGGGCCTGGGTCAGGCAGACTAGCTGAGGGAGAGTGGACTAGTGAGCAGCTGCTCTAGACACCACTGGACTTCCTCCAGGCCTCGGTAGGCTCGCTTCAGACCTCTGGGAAGGCAACGGCAGGACTCCAGGTTGAGATACAGCAGTCCTGGGCAGCTGCTAATCAGAGAGCTGTGGAACAAGTAGGTCATGTGAACTGAGTTGCTGGCCAGGGAGTCCTGTCTGTTACACTTTATACTATGCCTGACACCTACAGCCATCCAGGCCCAAGCCTAGTACTCTTGGTATTCCCAAGTGGGGGTCTGATCAGTGCCTATACCCCTCTTGGACCCTGGAAGTGTTGAGCAAGGAAACACACAACCTCTTGGCCCAAACATGGCAGCAAACAGTACTAGATTAAAGGACTAGGGAAAGAAACACTGACCTGACTGTATTTGGTGTAACTCGGGTACCCCTGAGGTTGAGAGAGCACAAGACTGGGTGTAAACCCCCAGGAGTGCCTGAGAAAACAGCTAGGGCCTGCTCCAGGTCTTTTTCACTGAAGCCTTGGCCACTGAAGTCCAGTTCCCGCAGGGTGTGATACCACTTCTGGGTCAACAGGGGGCTGCCCTCCTTAGCTAGAGTCAGTTGATCAGACATGCCATACAGGCCCAGGTACAGTTGTTCCAGGTCTGAGAAGGAAGTACTGGGTGTGAATAGTAGGCAGGCAGTGTCTCACATCCCACCTGCCCAGCCACCACCCAGGGCCAGCTGACCCTGACAAGGTAAATCACACAAGCCAGCAGGCGTGATCCGGGCACAGCCACGAAGATCCAGCAGGCGCAGGTTGGGGGAGCAATGGAGCAAGCGGCCCAGGACCTCATTGCTCACAAAGTTGCAGGTGGAGCCAGCCAGGCAGAGCTCCTCAAGGCTGGGAAAGCCTGGTCCCTGGGGCACCCCTCGTCCACAAGGCTTAGGAAGCCACATCAGATTCAGCAGCCGTAGCACCTAGGGGCCGGAAGGGAGGGAAAGGTTGCAGATAGGGAGATAGGTGGCAGGTAGGAGAAGACAGGGCATAGATACCTGCAGTCGGGGGCAACCTTTTTGTAGAGCCTCCACAGGCAGCTGCAAGGGAGTGTTGTTGCAGTTCATGCCAGTGCTCACCTCCAGGACTTGGAGCTGGGGGCAGCAGCTGCCCTGTGATGGTGGGGAAACACACTGGGTCAAAGCCTGGCAGTCCCCACTCACATTTGGTTCCACTCCTGCCCATCACTAACCTACCAGCAGTGCACCCAAGATGGCTGTTGTCTGGGAACTGTAGGTCAGCCACAGCTTGCGCATTCGGGGACCTGCCTCCTCCAAAAAGCTCACCACAGCTGTGGACTCCACCTGGGGACCCAGCACAGGGGTGCCTGTCATGTCACTTGGGCCTAGGCTTCTTCAGGGCCTCTTGAGACACAAGGCTCACCATGGAATGTTGTAGGTCTAGGCTGTGGAGCTGGCAGCATGCTTTGGCTAACATGACCAGAGTGTCAGCAGTCACATTGTGGCAGTCTGAAAGCTTGAGGAAGGTGAGTTGAGAACAGGACTCGCTAACCAGCTGTGGCAAGAGAGAGACAGACCACCTGGGGTTAGGAGAGGGCAGGTGAAGGCCCACAGGGACACTTGGCATGGTGGCCATGCCAAGCCCACTCTATGGCCCCAGCTATGACTGTCTTCTATCCATGCCAGGCCTACCTGGGTGCCCCTTCCTCCAGCACCTCCCTACCTACGGTGCCAGCAAGAAAGAACGGGGCAGGCAGGGTTTCTATGGGGCAGTAACCAGTCCACACCCTTGGAGTGGACAACCCAGTATCACAGCTGGTGTGCAGCCTCAAATTCTCACCTTCAACACAGGGTGTACCTGAGACTTCCAATGGATGAGGGTCAGCCTCTGGAGCTGTGAGAACCTGGGCAACAGCAAGTCCCAGTTACACTAACATTCGCAAGTGCCCCTATGAACAGCGTCCTCCCCACCCAGGAGTGACGCAGGTGGCAGGTGACCCTCACCGATTGGGCATGAGCCATTCCAGGGAACCAAGGAGCTTCTTCTCTGCCTTAAGGTTGCCCTTGGCAGAACGACCAACGAGTTGGGGCAACAGGGTCACAGTATGCCAGAGCGCAGGGTGGGAGGTGGCCTCATGCCAGCGGCGGCAAACGCGCGCAGCCCTGGACGAAAAGAACAGTTCGCTGAGTGCGTGGCCTTTCGTGGGCGATGCCTACAGTGGGGTTTCTTAAGAACCGCACACGACATGTGCCCTGGCAACTTGCAGCGGACACCCGCGCTCAAAGCCGGACTCCTGGGCCTCCAAGTGGAGTGCTCCTGGCTAGGTGCTGGAGCACTCGTGTTCGCCCACTGAGATGCTCTGCCCACTGCCCTGCTGCGCGACCTCTTTCAGTGGGCTCGTCCCCGTCCGGCCAGGAGCTGTACGGTACCTGCCTAGGAACGGCATGGGCCCATCGGCCGCCACCAGCAACCCGAAAATATGCACTAAGACTTCTAAGGGAATGCGGTCTCCCCAGCCCGAGTCGGGGCCCTGTTCAGACGGCTCAGGCCGGGGTCTGGTCCTAGGCTTGGCGGCCGCTGTGGTGCGAGCTGATGGACGAGCAGCACGGCGGGCGATGCGCCTGTGAGCACGGGCACGCGTGGGCTCCAGGCCCGGCAGCACGAGCAGCATGCTGTCAGCCTGCAGCAGGTGGAACCCAGAGCCGCGGGGAGCCAGCCGGTCCCACCACCAGTTCTCGGCCGAGCGGGCCCGCATGCGAGCTCGCGTGGAGCCTCGGGCTCGGCGCCGGGATCGGCGGGCGGCGGAAGCAGCTGCCATAGCGGCGCACCGCCCCCAGGAGCGGAAGCCAGACCCGCAGATAGGAAGGGGCGGGGCCTCCGGCAACACGCCTGCCACTCCACTCGTCTTCCGGGGTGGGACTTCCGCGACGGGACAGCGAGTCCTGCGGGTTCTTGAGCGTCCTCATACATCCAGCCTTGCGGCCGGGATCGGGCGGTGTTCCGAGCCAGGCGGCCCACTCTCTGTACTAGAAGGCGGGTCGCTGGGCGGGCAGCGCGGGGCCCACGCCCCTGACGCCAAGGCTTGGCGCCGGAGCCCTGGGTGGTCAGCTAGCCACGCCCACGCCTTCAGATCCAGCCACTCCCACAGGCCTCGCCCCTTAAGTGCCCGCAGCCCGAAGTTCGCGGTAGCCTGGGGTGGTTTGCCAGCGCTGGTCCTCCGCCAGCCGCGGAGTCAGCTCCTGCGCTGGTCCTCTCCCCTGGAGCCAAGCTTTGGGCCGGATTCTTGCTCCTCCGCTTGCTGGCCTTGCTGTGTGGGGTCCCGGCGTGGGCTTTTTGGTACGTACAGCTCCTGATCCACCTGCCGCGTCCCCCCATGTGTCTTATTCTTGCAGTCTGTCCACCTCATGCCCCGGCTCTGTTCTACACGCCTGTTTGTCTCCCCCCAGCTCGAAGAGGTCTGGCTCCCAGAAGAGCTAGAGAAGCTTAGGAACTAGGTGGGGAAAGAGAGAGCAGTTACCTTCGCCTTGCCCTGGAGGGTCCCCCTTGACCTAATGGCAGCACCTCCGCTGGGCCGACTGGTGCTGACCCATCTACTGATGGCCCTCTTCGGCATGGGCTCCTGGGCTGCGGTCAACGGGATCTGGGTGGAGCTGCCGGTGGTGGTGAAAGTGCTGCACGAGGGTGAGTGAGGGGAAGTGGACGGAGGTGGGCTGCAGCCGCCTTCTTCCTCAGCCTTGGGCACTTACTCGCTTCCCACCTCCCCGCCTCCTGCAGGTTGGAGCCTCCCTTCCTACCTCTCTGTGCTTGTGGCGCTGGGGAACCTGGGTCTGCTGGTGGTGACCCTGTGGAGGCGGCTGGCCCGTGGCAATGACGAGAGGATCCCCATCCGGGTGGTACAGGGCCTGAGCATAGTGGGCACAGCCCTGTTGGCCCCTCTGTGGCACCGTGAGGTCCTTGTGGTAGGACAGCCCCACTCCGTGGTCTTCCTAACCCTGACATTTGTACTGGCACTGGCCTGCTGTGCCTCTAATGTCACTTTTTTGCCCTTCCTGAGCCACCTGCCACCTCACTTTTTACGATCTTTCTTCCTGGGTCAGGGCCTAAGTGCCTTGCTGCCCTGTGTACTGGCCCTGGCACAGGGGGTGGGCCGCCTTGAGTGCCTGCCTGAGTCTGTCAATGGCACTAATGACACCACTGGGCCTCCCATCAAGGTGTCCCCGGTCAATTTCCCTGAGCGCTTTTCTGCCAGTACTTTCTTCTGGGCACTGACTGCCCTTCTGGGCACTTCAGCTGCTGCCTTTCAAGGTCTCTTGTTTCTACTGCCATCACCAGCATCCGTACCCACAGAGGGCTCAGCTCAACAGGTGGGAACACCAGGAACAGAGGAGGAAGAGGAAGAGGCCTTGCCATTACAGGAGCCATCCAGCCAAGTGGCAGGCACCACTCCCAGTCCAGACCCTAAGGCCCATAAGCTGTTTTCTGCCCGAAGTGCCTGCCTACTGGGGCTGCTGGCTGTCACCAATGCACTGACCAACGGTGTGCTGCCTGCTGTGCAGAGCTTTTCCTGCCTGCCCTATGGGCGCCTGGCCTACCACTTGGCTGTGGTACTGGGCAGTTCTGCCAACCCCCTTGCCTGCTTCCTGGCCATGGCTGTGCTATGCAGGTGCACATGGGCCCCACACTTTTGGGGGGAGGAACTTGAGGTAGGGGCCAGATCCTTGCACAGCCAGTCCTGAGTCTCAGCCAATTCCTGGCAGGTCCCTGGCAGGGCTGTATGGTCTCTCTCTGCTGGGCATGCTCTTTGGAGCCTACCTGATGACACTGGCAGTCCTAAGCCCCTGTCCTCCTCTGGTGGGCACCTCTGCAGGTGTTGTCCTTGTGGTAAGTAGGGTGGGGACTGAAAGGGGAATGGGATGTGCCCTGGAACAGGGGAACTTCATGCTCAGTCTGCTGCTGCAAACACCCTCCACATACACCCTTTCAGGTCCTGTCATGGGTGCTGTGTGCAGGCGTGTTCTCATATGTCAAGGTGGCGATCAGCTCCATGCTGCACAGTGGGGGACGGCCGGCATTGCTTGCAGCTGGTGTGGCTATCCAGATGGGGTCTCTGCTTGGTGCCACTGCCATGTTCCCTCCCACCAGCATCTATCGTGTATTCCACAGTGGAGAGGACTGTGTGGACCAGTGTGGCCCTTGAGCCTGGGCATATGAGACTTACTCCATCTCACTTGTCCCTACCTGGAGGCTGTCACAGTGCCTGTCAGGTCCTTTGGCCCAGGGTGGCTTCCCTACTGACCAACACACTCATGGATACTGTACACTCCACAAGAGACCTGGCTTTTTAGAAAAGGCCAGTGTGAGGACCAAAGAGCAGGCCTAGAACCTTGGACAGATTGGGGCTGTGGCCTTCACCCTGGGACCTTCGTGAGATTTGCACAATAAAGCATCTTTATTCAGTGGGTTGTTAATCCCGTAAGCACTGCTCCTTGTGCAGGCCTAGCTTCCTCTGGGAGCTGCCTCTTCCTAAGTTCCTAGTGTAGCTTCTAGGCAGGCTTCCAATCTCTACCCTGGTTGTTCTTGCAGATCCTTGGGTCACCCTGGGACTCCTACTCCCATTGCTTCTTGAAACTCCCTGTGGTGGGGGGACAGTGGTGAAGACCAGCTCCTAGGACCCACATGGGGATGAGAAAGCATGATGCCTCTAGCCTGGAATCTGCTTGACAAGCAGCAAGGCCACTTCCATAGCACCTCTTGAGGGTGTGAGGGTCTGGTGTGGTTGAGCAGTTATCTGTCAAAGTGAGCTGGGAATGGCAGAGCCTCCTGCTAAGATCTTCATATTAGAGTTAAGTGCAAGGTCCAGGCCCAGAGGGGCTTAGTGAGAAGGACCTAGAGGAGCTGGGTCTAAGGACCTTTCAGCCTGAGAGCACTGCTTACTGACCTACCAACTAGCAGCTTCTAATTTTCAACCTCTGCAGTCCAAGCCCTCTATTCAGGTAGACATGTTGCAGCTCCCCAAGCTTCTGGCAGATGACCAGTTACAACAGGGGGCCCTTTGCCCCCTTTCATTTTTAGAGCCAGTCCTAGACTAGGTGCTTCTCAGGCTCCCACACAAAGGACTGGAGCCTCAAGTAGAACTGGAAAGAGCCCCTGAACAGAAGGCATGAGGATTCTGATGAGGCCACACCAGGGCTGGGACCTGGTTTTCTGCCTTCTTTTTTCACTTTCTGCCAGGCAGGAGAGAAAGAGACTCACGGGGGAGGCAGGACACCGAGTGTGATCCAGTGTGACTAGCCTGGCATTGAAAGTCTCCTCATAAGGAGTTTGGGTGTGGGTGTGAGTCCCACCCCTCTTGCCAAGTTCTTCCATATGTTCTTTCTGACCTTAAGATGCTTTTTGTTGTTGACTTGGCCGCCTGGCCTTAATCCTGATCCCCATCTGCATCCCCCAATGTACTTTGGCAGGACCAGCAGAACAGGGGAAACACTCCTGATTCCCTGGGGTAGGGTGGCTCAGATGTTGGCCTAGAAGAGTGGGGGTAGCTTGGCAAAGTGGGTGTGTCCTAAAGGATCTGCAGGGGTGAGGGTGTTGTGCAGGGGTGAAGTGCATGGGACCAGTATTTACCTTGAGCTCTGAGGATTCTTGGTCCCATATCCCTCTTCTCTTCCACCCCACTACTCTACCCTTGTTCAGCACCCATGCCTGTGACCTGCCCTCATCTGTCCACCCAGGGCTACCATCCAGCTTCTTTCTCCATTTCCTCAGGTCAATGATCAGAGGCATTCCTACAGCCCTTGCCCTGTGCTGACATGTGCATTTGTGTAAGGTGTGCCAGGCCCAAGGGCCACCAAACAACTCGGCTTTGCATATATACAGTCTCCTGGAGAAGAGTGGGCAGGACCAGCCTGGGCTGGAAGTGGGCAGTCTGAGGAAACCACTGCTCTTTGAAGTTCCAGGGCCTTCCTGTTCTACCACAGGAAACTGGGCAAGGGTCAGAATAACACAGGGTGGAAGATAACAGGTCCAGGACAGAGGCAAGCCCAATGCCAAGTCTAAGAGGATCTGGGAGAGGGAGGATAGCCCACTACCCAGGTCTCTCAGACCTGGGCTGGGGGTTTGGAAATGACCCCATAGGAAGATAGCTGCTGAACCTGGACCTTTGTTCTGCTGTCCCAGAAGGCAGTTACCTGAGTGATGAGCCATACAACCCGTTGTTCTCTCCCCCATCACCATGAATGTCCCGTTGGCTCCTTGAGGTCAGGAAAGGGCCATTCACAGGCCAACTCCCTTCCCAGGTATGAGATGGGCCTGTGATGCAGGAACAAGGCTTGTGTTGCTGGGAATGAGTGACTACATTAGGGTCTTTACCTTCCTGGATTCTCCACTTGAGTTCCAAACAGCTGTGGTTCTGATGTCACTGCAAGTGTAGCAGCCTTTGATTTACATCTGCTCAGAGACCCTTTCACCTGACTTGGGGACACAGGACAATCCTTTAAGGGCCACCATACTCAAATTCAGAGTGACCTCCCCAGCTTCTGTAATGCTGAAGACAAGCAGGAGAGGGTATGGACCATTATCAGTTCAAGAAATTCCTCAGGCCAGGCATGGTGGTACATGCCTCTAATCCCAGCACTTAGGAGGCAAAGGCAGGTGGATCTCTGTGAGATCAAAGCCAACCTTGTCTATGTAGTGAGTTCCAGGCTAGCTGGGGCTGCAGGGAGACCCTGTCTCAAAAAAGACAAAAATAAAAGTCACTGCCACCCCATCTCACCTCCAAGGGGTTCCTGGGGCTCCCTTCACTTTAATGCTCACCACAGCCTCTAGGGCTCCAAGGCCATTCATGTTCTGGTGAGTGCTAATCAACACCCGCTGCCCTTTTCTGGCCTCCTTGCAGCTGTTTGTGTGACCTGTTCTACACCAATCAGCAGGCCCTAATCCTCCAGCTCCTGGAAAGTCTTGGTCCTTGGTCCGTAAGGACCCCAAGGTAACCCCCCCATCCCGAGCTTGTTTTAGCATCAGCTCTTAGGAGAACTCCAAGGAGAACTCTAAAGTTATCAGACCTTACCAGACAAACCCCTGGGAAGAGGCACATCACTGACTGCTGAGCTTTGCTGACCGTCTTGGTGGGGAGGGGGCTGATGACACCATGTTCAAAAATGTAGAAGCATGGTGTTTGCTATGCTGGAGCATGGAAGCCAGGCCAGTGACACCCCCTGGGTAGGGAGCTACCTACTTGTAAGAACAACCTGGTAGGATCAGACTAAGTACTGAGTGTTCTCAAACAAGGTGAAGGCCAAGCCAACAAGTGTGCACCACACCTGGTGCCAGAAGGTAAATTTTATATTAGGTATGTTTATCATAGGAAAAAAAGAAAGCTGGGTGTGATGACGCCTTTAGTCCCAGCACTCAAGAGGCAGGCAGATCTCTGAGTTTGAGGCCAGCCTGGTCTAGATAGTGAGTTCCAGGCCAGCTGAGGCTATAGGGAGACCCTGTCTCAAAAAAACCCCAAACCAAAACAACCCCAACAACAACAAAAACCCTTTCAAAAGGGTAAAGCAAGGCAAAATACGATCCACGGTGGCAGGGAAAGAATCAGTGGCCATAAAGAAAAAGGCAGTAAGAGGGGGAAGGGGAGAGAGAGAGAGAGAGAGAGAGAGAGAGAGAGAGAGATTGAGATTCATAGCTTTACGGGAGAGCACTTACCCAAACTCTGTCAGAGGGCGAGGAAAGCAGATGGACTTAATCTCAGCCTGATGCGGTGAGTGGTGGGAGCTGGCATAGGCAAGCAGGAGTGCATGGTCAGCAGCATGGTTCGGTAAGAGGGAACTGGGTCATAAATAACCCAGTCATTCCTCTTCCCGGGTTTGGCACCATATGATAGGTAAAACTGGGATAGGTGAATGGAGTCACAGACAAGAACTATGGCGGGATAGTTTATTAGCAGAGGAAAAAGCACACAGGACAGTTCCCTTCGGGATAGAGAAGCTGTCCCTCCACAGGTTGTTGGCTGGGGGTCTTTTATAGGGGGCTTCAGGGATGCAGAAGGTGGGAAAAATTTTATCTTAATATTTTATTATTTTTATGTGTATGAGTGTATTGCCTGCATGTATGTGAGTGCACCTATGTCATGCAATGCTGCAGAGGTCAGAACTGGAGTTAAGGACAGTTCGTAGCCCCCCATGTGGATGCTGGGAATTGAACCCAGGTCCTCTGCAAGAGCAGTCAGTGCTCTTAACCACTGAGCACTGACTTAACCACTGGGCGGGGGGGCGGCGGAGAGAGAGAGCCCAGGGCTTATCAAAAGAGAGTAGCCTCTGTTAAACCCCTTCTATCCTCTTCCATCACCCAGGATTTGGGTCAAAGGTGCAAAGAGTCTGTTTACCCTTTAAGATCCTGAAAGATAAGAACAGTAGAAAACAGGTGTTAACAAGGGAGATATGGATAAAAATGGGGTTTTTTTAAGAGGAGGAGGGAGGGAAGGTTATACAAGAAACCTAAGGGATAAAAGGAAAGAAGGAGCTCAAGAGGTGGGACCATAGGTGAAGGGTATTATTAAGGGAGAAATGGGAAAAACGGAGGCACCTTAAATGGGGAAACCATAGTGGAAGAGTGTATTAGTCATTTTTCTGTTGCTGTGATAGAAACATTGACCGAAGCAATTTATAGAAGGAAGAGTTTATTTGAGCTTAGGGTTCTGGGGGAATTATAGTCCATCATGGTAGGAGTGGAGGTGGCTGGAGCAGGAGCCACAGAAGCTTAAGCTCTCACATCATCACGCAGGCACAGGAAGCAAGAGAGCGACTGGAGATCCGGCAAGGCTTAAGAACTATGTAAGCCCACCCCAGTGACGTGCTTCCTCCAGCATGGCCACACCTTCTAAAACCTCCCAAAACAGCACCATCATCTGGGGACAGAATGTCCATACAGTTGGAGCCTATGGGGGACATTTCCATTCAAACCACCACATTCCACCCCCTGGCCCCCATAGGCTAATGACCATATAAAATGCAAAATGCATTTAGTCTGACTTTAAAAGTCCCCATAGTCATTATCAATCTCACTACTATTCAAAGGTCAACAATCCAAAGTCTATTCTGAGACTCAGGTAAATATCTTAACTGCAAACCTCTATAAAATCAAAAGACAGGCCGGGCGTGGTGGCTCACGCCTTTAATCCCAGCACTCAGGAGGCAGAGGCAGGCAGATCTCTGTGAGTTCAAGGCCTGCCTGGTTGACATAGTGAATTCCAGGACAGCTGGGGCTGCAGGGAGACCCTTTCTCAAAAAGAAAAAAAAAAAAAAAAAAAAAAAACGAAAAACCAAAAGACAAATTACATGCTCCCAACATACAGTGGAACTGAATATGCATTACCATTCCAAAAGGGAGGAATAGAAGCATAGTAAGGAAATACCAGACCAAAACAAGACAGAAAACCAGCGGGGCAAACACCAAATCCAGTAGCTCCATGTCC